CTTCCAAGATTCTTCTCTTCTTCGTGACATATTTGGAAATGAAACTTAAAATATAGATATTTGGAAGATATTTGTTGGGTCAATAGACAATAGTTTTGTGGAATAAATAAGTTACAGAAATATTTAAACAACAAAAGATTCATACATTATATAATTGAACAGCCAATTCGATATTGATATTGAAATATTAATAAGGGGTCCCTATTAATAATATACATATTGAATTTGTTGCTGTTAAAGGATATTCAGTTGTTCACAACTCAACTAAAGAAGAGTCTATCACTCTATCTACGATGAATGATTAAAAATCTAACTTTGTAAAACAATTGTTGAAGATGGTCAATTGGTCATGCATGTTTCTGAAGAGGGTCATGGACTTTAGGCCTTGTCAAGCCCACCCATTAAGGTCTTGTTTAAATGTCGAGAGCATCATCAAGGGAGAGAGAGGGAAGAGAGACGTCTTTCTCATATTTTTTTCCCAAGAAGTTTTCTCACGTAATCGTTCCAATTAATTAGGAGGAATGTTATAGTATGGGTCAAAGTCTCGGGATTCAGAGCATTTCTATCTTCACTTCACTTTTTCACTCAAAACTGTACTCTAGAGTTTAGAATAAATTCGATATTACTTCTATACCTCGTTGTAACAATGTGTATGTGCTGACTGGCTTGCGAAATAAAGCAAAAGCACACAATCTAATCTTTTCCCATATAAGTCTTTTAGTTCCCGGTTGGCTAGGCATAAGATGGGTACCCTGAAAATTTGGACTACCCGTTATCCGACTCGATCCTACCGGATATTTGACAAACAATATTCTTACCCGGCACGTAAAAAGCGAGTACCCTATACAACGAGTACCGGACAAAAATTCGCCGGATACCCGGTCTTTTACCCTTACCCGCCCAATTGTAATATAGTTTATGTATAATTAAAGTTAAACAACTTATATACCAAAGAAATGAAAGAGTTATTAGGAAAAGGAAAAAAAAATCTCTTAATAGACAACATATAGTTCATAAAATATAATATTATAAATTTTAAAATTTAAAACTTGTAATTCATCATCTCCAAAATTACCGATGACAATTCAAAAACACAAAAGATTGACGTTGTAAG